CATTTTGGTTTCTTGCTAGAGTTCCACATTGGCCAAACCAACCAGAAAACTGATACAAGGAAGCCTACTAACGTAGTCCATTCAGATCAGATTCCTGAGACACAAATTTGGGTGGAGAATGGTCTTTTCCTGCCTGTTAGTTCACTGACAGGTGAAGTTCATAGTGATCCAGGGCCATTCTCGGCTGTGCTCCCTGGAACACTAGGACCTCCAAATCTATCAAATCTAAGTTTGCACGAGTAGGAAGCAAAATTATCCCCCATAGATTATTTAGCCTAATAGTTAGTGTGACTTCTTCTGCCTTAGATTCCTGCATTTCAGGTATGGGAGAGATGACATCATATATTCCCACCGGTTTAGGGTATGTTGTTGTTGTTCTTAGGTGCCGTCGAATCGATTCCGACTCATAGTGACTCTATGTACAACAGAACGAAACACTAGCAGGCCCGGCCCCATCCTCACAATCGGTGTTATGCTTGAGTCCATTGTTGCAGTCACTGTGCGGCAACCCACCTCCTAGAGGGTCTTTCCTCTTTTACACTGACCCTCTACTTCACCAAGCATATATAACCAGTGTATATACAGCAGCAAATAGGACAGCATCCGAAAATTGCTAATGGTTTCTCTCACAGTTCGTACAAAAACTGTGCATCCAGCAGGCCATTCCATCACTCTATCAAGTCATTTGTCTCTGAGTGATGGAGCACAAGGAAGTTCAGGAATTCTGTGAATGTAAGCCCATTGTTACAGTTTATTTCTGATAAAATAGATAGTCACCTATGAAAGAAAGAAAATTTCTTCTGCTATGTTTATTTGAAGTCATTATATTGTCACCGAGGTTAGCAGATAGCAATGGCAGAAGGATTCTTGCTCTCAAACACTGGAAATACTTCATTACCATCTCATAAAAGTAAGAGAAACAAGATATAATTTATGCACTTTCCCAACAGTGTATTTAAATGAATGGGTGATGACCAGGGTTTTTAAGAAAAGAAGGAAAGAGAGAAGAAAAGAAAAAAAAGGAAGAGAAAATTTCATAATGACAAGTATTGTTATGTGAAACCTTGTTCAGTTTGTTACCAACACACACTGGCCCAATAGACCAAGAAGCCTGCCCACAGACAGTGTTTTTAACTGTAATAGGGCCATTTAAAAGGGACAAGTATAAAGGGAGGTTAGAGGGAATGAAGGGAAAGGAGAGGAGAAGAACAAAAGGGGGAATGGGAAAAAATGGTAAGGAAATCCGAAAGAGGAAAGAGAAATGGAAAGAAAAGCCTCTTAACTCAAGGTAAAGGAACAAGGATGAGGAGAAAATAGGGGAAAAAGGAAAAGGAAAATGTAATGGGTTTAAGTAGCATACTGCTGATCAGGGGGAAAAACCAGGGAGTGTTCCTACTTTTCCTTTGTATTCCAAGAACACCCCACACAGTTGGCACCCAGGTGTGTACTCATTGGACTCCTATGTGTGAGCTCTTAAAAGTTCTGCCCTCTTTGCACTGCCCTGGCAGAGACCCAAAGACGGTGTAAGGCAAGCAGCAGATAACAGTTAAAAGACTCAGTTCAATCCTCTATTAGCAAATTCTTCATTAAGTACTGCCAGGAATTTCTGTCTGTGAGACAGATTACTGTTTAAAAAAAGAAAGAAAGAGGGAGAGGTCTCCCTGTTCTAAAGGCCTTAAAGAAGCCCCCTCTATTGGGTATTTCTATTAATTACTTCTTCTAAGTATTATTATACCTTAGAATCAAGGCACAGAATTACTGCGAACTTTGGTTTATAAATACTTTATATGTAACTCTTTCTCTCTTTTCAGAAGAAAATGTCACTTGCTCTTAAGTGAAAGAAGCAAAAGACACAATAATAGCGGTATCAAAATAATCACCCCAATATAGGGCAAAGAGAAGCTTCTCTGCGAGTCTGACCATCAACAATGCAGCTTCAGTAGTCAATGAGGACTCCTCACAATACAATCACTTAAGAGATCTTCATGTAACGCACTAGCTGTCTGCATACTCTCCACATTGCCACCTTCATATCTTGATTCCTGAATGTGTAAATGACAGGATTCAGGAAAGGGGTGAGGACTCCATCAAAGATGGCCAGAAACTTATCCAGGTGTGTAGATGAAGACGGCCACATATAGAAGAATATCAAAGGACCAAAGAACAAAACCACCACAGTGATATGAGCTGAAAGTGTGTACACAGCCTTGGATGAACCAGCTGAAGAGTGTTTCTGAACAGTGACAATGATGACGATATAGGAAATGATCAGTATGAAGAAGGAGCCCACAGAGATGAATCCACTGTTGGCCGTGACCATGAACTCCAGCCGGTAGGTGTCTGTGCAGGCCAGTTCGATGAGCTGAGGAAGGTCACAGTAAAAGCTGTCCAACACATTGGGGCCACAGAAGGGTAATTTTACTACAAAAGCCAACTGAATCACAGAGTGGATAAGGCCAATCATCCATGCTGACACTAAAAAGAAGATTCACATTTGTGGGCTCATGATGGTCAGGTAGTGGAGAGGCTTACAAATGGCCACATATCTGTCAAAGGCCATGGCTATGAGCAGCACCATCTCCA